TTATTTTGTAACAGGCTCCAACTCATCGGCTCCTGTTTTGTAAGCATTATCTTGTAAGTTAATATTATGTAAGTAAGTAGTATTTAACTTAGCAAGTTATATGTAAGTAGGTATTAAAGCTTTATGTAACTAAGTAAGTAGTATTTAACTTAGCAAGTTATATGTAAGTAGGTATTAAAGCTTTATGTAACTAAGTAAGTACTATGTAAGTAAGTCAGCATTATGTTTGTAAAAACAATAAAAATTTAAAAAAAAAATTTAAATTAAAAAGAATTGTGTTTGCGATGTGGAAAGAGAGGCCACTGGGCCAATTCCTGCCCCTTTAAAGATTAACTCTTGTCTTCAGGACCAAAACCTTGATTTTTTGGATTTGGATCAATACGAATTTGATCAGAGACAGAGCACTCCTGAGAGTCATAGGATCCTCTTTTATCCAAGGAAAGTTGCGTGCTAACTTGTCTTTTGGGCGTGATGCAGTAAGAGCTTCAGATTTTGCTTTGGATATTATTGAGGACGGTTACAAGATTCTTTTTCAGAAGTCGCCGTTACAGTATTCGATTGAGAACAGATCGTCGGCACTTCTTCATAGAGGTTTTGTTCGGGAGGCTGTTCCAGAGTTGCTGACGCGTGGCGGTATTAAACAGCTTTCGGTTTACCCTCTTTTCTGCAATCCTTTGGATGTCGCTGTGGAGTTGTCAGAAAAACTTAGGCTGATCTTAGATTTGTTCTATTTTAACAGATTTATCATTAAGAGGTGAAATACGAAGACCTAAAAACGTTTTTTAAATGTTTGTTTTTTTATTTGATCTCTAGTCAGCCTATCATCACATTGATATCTGCGAGGAACACAGGAATTCTCATCCTTTTTATAGCCTTCTTCTGATGTAGTCAGAAAATTTTACGAATTTTAGGTTTTACCTTTTTGGTTTGTGTTCTGCGCCATGTGTCTCCATCGAAGTTTTTATGTTCGTTGGTTAAATTGAGGAGAGGTTTTGGCCATATTAGTTTAATATACCCCGATGATGCTGCGGGGATTCGGGGCGATACGTCTTTAAATTGTGCCGAAAGCCTTAATAGTATTTAGTTCGCCAAGACGTTGCTTCGTCCGGTTTCACACTTAACGATGATATATCGAGGAGGAGCCTACACAGAAGTTTGTTTTCCTAGAAACCGTTTTGGATTTTGAGAAAGGTTTGATCTTAATTCGGGAAGGACGTATCCTTAAGCTGAAATCATCCCTCGTTTCCTGTCTTCAGAAGGTCCAGTGATTAGTGGTGAACTCGTGGGAGGGTTATTTCACCTAAGTCCAGCACCGTTGAAGTCGTTTATTCCGATGCAAGTGGCCCTGGGTTTTTTTCAGTGTGGCGTAGATTTAGTTTCCGGTGTTTGGTCCGTAGATCAAGTGCATTCTAGCGCCACAATCAGAATGTTCACCTCTTATTATTTCTTCTGGGAGTAGTAAGGACTTTTGCATCTGTTGTAGTTATGACATTTCGATTGGGATAAAATGGATCCCGAGATCTCAGAATGATCGGGCTGATTTTCTTAGTCGCACTTATGACGCCGACGATTCTGCTTTTTTTGCACAGGATTGACCCAATTTGGGGTCCTCATTCGATTGATCGTTTCGCAAATCATCTGAACGCTAAACTCTCGCGTTTCAATTCCCGATTTTGGAATCGGGTTGTTGAAGGCATTGATGCTTTTGTTAGGGTTAGGCCGGAGAAAATAATCATGTTTGTCGGCCTATCTGCCTTATTCTGCGCGTTTTGATTTATCAGCATAATTGTAAGCTTAAGGGTTTCTCGTTATCCCTTTGTGGCATTCCAGCCCTTTTTGGCCAATGATTTGCCCAGATGAAAGTTGGTTCGTTCCGACATTTAAAGGGTCTTAAACTTTTTTCTTGGCAGTTTCAATAGTGTGTTTGGAAACGAAAACTTGAACTTCAGGATGATTGCTTTGAGAATCCAATTCGATTGTTAGGTAATTGTTATTCTTTTATTCATTGTATTTTTAGGGGGCTTTTCTTTTTCTGTCTTTGTACTCTTGGGGCCGTGCGTCCTCTAGTGAGCATGCGATAGCATATGCTGTGTGGTTGTTGTTGTCACGCACGGTTATTGTGGTCTGTACGAAAGTTAGGCGAGAGTTGGACTAAGTACGATGCAAACGGATTTTTGAAGGTTCTATAACACTACTCGCATATTTTGAATTCGCGACGTCCTGACAGAAGATCAAAATTTGTTACTTCCGCAGTAATAAGATACTGTCCATGTGAACATCTCAAGGAGAAAGCTTTTCATGCCCTCTTCAGCTTGAGACGACACACGAATCTTAGCAAACTAAAAGCAGCTCTCGCTTGTAAAATATTTGATACTATGATCTCCCCTATTCTAACATATAACAAAGAAATTTGGGGTGTGTATGCCAAACCAGATTTTAAAACCTGGGACGGCTCCCAAATCGAGAAGGCACACCTTCAATTTTGTAAACGATACTTGGAAGTAAACAACAAAGCTTCTAACATAGCTTGTGGAGCAGAGCTTGGTCGTTTTCCTTTAAATAACACTATCAATCAAAAAATTCTCATATACATTTTGTATATACAGTCTTAAGATGAGGAATCTCTCGTCAAACAAGCTTTTTTAAAATGCCATTCGACTTACATTGTAATGGCAAAGATAGCTTCCACTCTCATTTAACGAATATGTCACAATACTTTAACCTTCCTGACGTTAACCCTGATTTATGAGATATAGCTATGGTAAAAAGCTATGTAAGTTCAGTGAAACAGGAATATATCTTATATTGGCAAAACACCCTTCAACTTTCTCAAAAACTTGAATTTGATAGATTTTACCTCCTCCAGTTACTGAGACTTAACAAGAGGAACAGCCGGGAGAAGGGCTTTAGTAAAACTACGAATAAGCAATCACAAACTAATGATAGAAATAGGCAGATACAATCAAACTACGAAGGACGATAGGCATTGCCCTTTTTGTGGAAGCAATGTAACAGAAGACGAAGTTCACTTTCTTTTTCAATGTCCTACATGCTCTTTGATTAGGAATAAATTTTACTATGAAATCAAGACTCTGATTCCAAATGTTACCCAGTTACCTAAAAACGGTTTGATCAATGAACTGATGAACTCTTCTAATTACCTTATCAATAAGCAATTCATAAAATATATTTCAGCTTGTTTTGATGTTCCTGACAAATTATTATCAAAGTAACGTAGTATCCCTGTGTTGTAATTTTGATTCCTAAACATAGCTTTTGCAACACTGTATGTGCTTGTACGGTCATGCAAATAAAGTTCGTTGCTGTTGTTGTTGTTCCTTTTAGGGAACACAATTTCTAAGACTTCATTGGCATTCTTTTGGCACAAGAAGAGGTAGAAAAAGCCTGAGGTCAATTTGTTGTGAGACAGATATTTCGCGGTTTTACACGTGTACCAGACACAGATGACGTAAAACACTCCTTAGTGTCTGGTACA